CTAACCCTAACCCTAACCCTAACCCTAACCCTAACCCTAACCCTAACCCTAACCCTAACCCTAACCCTAACCCTAACCCGGAGTGAGGCTTGTCCCCCACCCCCATTTTGCCGCAAACCCAAAAAAGTTGGGGCGCGGCGGCCAACCCCTAACCGCCCAGACGCCACTGTCGGGTCTCCCAAAATGGCACTTGAAAAACAGCTAAAGAACAAGATGTCAGGTCTCTAAAAATGGTACTTGAAAAAGAGCTAAAGAACAAGAGAAAAGAAAGGGAGAGAAAGAACTGAAGATCCGGCGAGACGGACAGGTTCATTCATACTTCAAAACAAATGCGGCACACACCTCCGCTTGGCGTCGTTGATGTTTCTTTTTGTTGTGAAATTTTACTGTGGACTAAGATAAGTCATTTTAGACAGTTCACTCAATGTTAATTATAATGAAAAAACGTTTGGTATTACACAATCGTGGCTTAAGAAAAAATTCAAAACTTTATCGCAGGACAAAGGAAAAATTGGAAGGAAAAAACGAAAAGCCAAAGCAATAACAAACAAGAAAAATGAATGCAAAAAAGGCATTGGAAGAATGCTGCTGCTGTTTCAGCTCATTTGTATGAGGTGAAGGGCAGTCTCATGATCGGAGGCCGGAAGACAACGTGGTAAAGACTGCGCCCACGGTTTCGGGATTCTCCAGAAGCGCATGCTGGCTAACTGGATGGAAAAGGAAAAATAAAATAAAAAAATCTACAGGGATGTGGTGGGAGGGCGCGAAAAGAACGATCTCGATTGAATCAAAAACGAGAAACAACCGAAGCAAACACTTGGACTATCAGTTTGTATGGAAATACAAAAAAAACATGAGAGCAGGTGATAGACATTAGCGTTGCAGCAAACTAAATGCGATCATTTCCGCTTGCCCTTTCAGAGTTTATATATAAAACAAATAAATTGCAACAATTGTTTCCCTCTACAAATTTTCACCCCCAAAACCCACATCACCCTTAACAGAAAACAATTCCCCTCCGACACTCCTGTTCCCCAGAGCCGCGCTCGTGGGAAAGCCCGCTGCCCAACACGCGTGTCGTTGGGAAGTTCCTTTGCCGCTGGGGAATGTCGAAGTGCGTGTCCGTTTTGTGTTTTCTTTGGGCGTTTATTTTCTTTTATTTCACAACTCCCAAATCCCAAACCCCATGCTTTTCGTATTGTTTTGGTTTTTCCCCCGTTTCTTTTTTTTTCGTTGTTTGCCGGGGGTCTGACCTGCCGGGTCACCACCCCGCACACCACGCCCAACAATAAAGAGCGACACTGTGAAGGAGAATAGGATTCATTCCCCACACTCTTTCAATAATCCATGTTGGAACCATCATGGCATCACCCTTTTGAAATTCCACTGAGGGAAGAGAACAACGGCCACCCGCCACATACCACATTTATTAATTGCACCCAAAAAAAGAGTGAAGAAGCCAAACAACATCCAACACCAAAAGAGGAATAAATAAAACTAGCAGGGGAACCAAATCCCCAACAATTCCTCATCTTTTCTTCATAATTTCCATTGGAATTCCAAAGGATTCAAGGCGCAACGAGAGCACACCAAGCAAAAGCATACCTAATGTAATTTGCCTTCTTCTTTGCTGGGCCTATAAAGTGGAAGAAAAAACAACGAGAGAAACAGAAAATATTTTTATTAGTTTGACCCCTGTTTCAAGAGATATGCCCCTTGGGGAGTGGCAAGCAACAGAATAGTTTAAAACACTTTCCCACCATGCAGAGTGAGAATATCTGTTGTATTTTGATAATTTTCCCTCCCGTCATGCAGAAAAACGTTAACATTAACAAAGGGTCTCTTGGTGAGGTCCACCATCTCCCCTCCTTTCCCCTTCAGGCACCAGAGAAAACCACTGCAAGAGAGGCGAAAGTGCAACAGACAACGCACACTTTTGTCTCTGCATTTCGTCAGTACTACCCCTCTTCCCATCATCATCATCAGTCTGCAATAATATGGAAAAGGAACAACAACACTGACTATTCACAAAAATAGCAACATAAACTTTATTTTATTTTATTTCTTGCACCGCACCCCGCGCGCAAGAAAACACAACCCAAGTGAAAAACACAAACCACACCAAAGGAGTCACACCATAGTATAGCGGCATCGTTGTTGCTTCCATTACAATGTGGAAAAGAATATGCCCCCACACACCGTAGAGTGGACGCAACGTTAAATGGGTTAGGGAATTGCCCTGTAATCCCAAAAAAAGAAAAGAGAGCAATAGTTGTATGTCTGGATCCATGCCCATCCGTTTGTAGAGAAATGGGAAAGGAAAAACTCAAACCCTCAACAGGCTTTGGGGGTGCGCCATTCTTCTTCGCCAAAATCATGGAAATGCTTCTCCTTTTTGGAGTGGAAGTTTATTTCCACAGACACGCCCATCCCAAAAGGGAAGCACGCAAACACTGGGTGATGTTCTTTACTACCCACTCACCGCTTGGCAGAAGAGGCATTATGAAATAGAAAAAGACCTCTTGATTCAAGGGGCCTCGATCTGTGCAAATTGCGTGGGTTTCCAAATGGCCCCTACACGATCACCAAAAGATTTCTCCAGGCCATTCCTAAGCAATTCGCCACACAAATATCACCTTCACTCGTTCGTATAAATACAAAACATTCCCCACTCACCCTTTTCCCTAGAGATGGGTGTGATGAGGTCCAGTAGCCAAGAATAAGATTTATTATATTTTTTTTTTCTGTGCAGAACTCTTTCCCACAGTCTTCCATGTCAATAGCTGTGGTGGAATGGCTCTTTTCAATTCCACACCGAATCCTTCAACACAGAGAGAGAGAGAGACCCACCCCATTATTTTCATTGAAATCCACAATGTTTATGCTTTCAAAATAATAATGGAATAAGTCGATCAGTTTAACTACCACTGTGAGAATATAGTCCCACTCGGTAACACTCTCTCTCTTGACTGTTGCGTGCAATATTCACCCTGGTCGACACACACCCCACAGTGTTGTTTGCATTGCTGGAGGTTGATCAGCACTCATTACTCTGAACCCTCTCTAGGCATCACCTCATCATGTGTATGTTGTTCAACAGTGATATCAATCTCTTGTTAATTGAACGAAACTCCATTCTCTCTTTTACTTCTACTCCTTTTTCTCTCACTGTATTTTTGATTTTCTGTTGATTGCAGTGTCACTTCTGCAACAACAAATCACAATGAAAGGAAAAAAAAGAGCAGAGATACAAAACAAACGAGAGAGTGCAGTAACAGGCTCAAAAAACATTTAAACAAACCCTCACTGATTACCAGCCGATCTGGAACCACAATCTGCAAGAATACCACAGACACCAGAAAGAGAAAACAAAATGTCCTTGCAAACCCCAATCGGATGAGTAATAGTGTACGAAATGAATTTATGGCTGCATATATGCAGAACATCTGTCAGGTGAATGAAACAAGGTGTCACACACACAACTGAGAAATTCAGTATCCCAATGAGGAGATAATGTGTGTGTATATATGTGTGGGAGGGGGAGGGAAGCAGAGTACCAACTGCAGTTGCATCAAAGACTCTCACATGCAAATACACCAGAATAAATAAATAAATACGTATGTGCATATGGAAAGTTATTATCCAATCCACTATACTTCTGTTCCCTCTTCTTTAAATAACTGTCCCATTTCATCATTATTATTGTTCCACACCCCATTGGGCTGTTCAATGTATTTCTTTTTCTGCTGTCGTTTGACTGTGATTCCCCAGTTACCAATATTGCCCTTCACGGCGGTGTATACTCCCATTAGAATGAGCACAGTCCAGCTTCACCATTAACCCATCGCTTTTACTACTTACATTCCTTAAGAGGGTTGGGGAAAAGAAAGAAATAAAAAATGAAAACAGCAACACATATAAAAAACAGCACAACAAAAACGTAAGCATAGAAACAATTACAGAAAAACATAAACTTCTTGGCCAGAACATTTCCATTTAATAAAAAAAGAAAAAAAGAAAAAAAGAAAAAAGGACCAATAATAAGAATCCCAAGTAAATGTTTATCGTTGATCCGACACTGTCGTCGCTCTCTCAGCATATATTTGCACTCCATTGTATGAGACAACAAACAGTGGGATTCTGCAGAATGCATATATGAAGAATTATAAATTTTCAGAAAATGAATTTAAAATCATAGCAAAAAAAAAAATTATTAACAATTAAAAGATTTTTTTCAATGAAATGAAGAATGCTCAAAAAAAAAAGAAAAAAGGACCAATAATAAAAAACTCAAGTATATTTTTATTCTTCACCTTACACTGTCGTCGCTTTCCCATCATATATTTGCACTCCATTGTATGTGATAACAAACAGTGGGATTCTGCAGAATGCGTATAGGAAGAATTATAAATTTTCAGAAAATGAATATTAAATCATAGCAAAAAAAAAATCATTAACAATTAAAAGAAATTTTCCAATGAAATGAAGAATGCTGAAAAAAAAAAAGAACGGCCAATGCATTGCAGTATATGGGATTCGATTCAAAGGACCGTGTTAAGCAAATGTGTTTATTATTTTGAATACGAATGGATCTCTCATGGAACCATCACAAAACCAACAACACACACAAGAAGTGCAAGAGGGGCCATGTAGGTGACGACGGTGCTGCTGTCAGTACCGAACATAACCGTTACATTTGTATGTTTTAGTGTTTCTTCTTTTATTTGCCTCTCAGTGATTGTTGTCCCATTCAAAACAGTGTTTGGGGACTGTATTGGGTCTTCAGTGCCGTTGGGATTAGATGTGGATTGAGAAGCAGTAGCATCAGCAATATGACGACGACTTCTCGATGCATGCTGTACTTCCTTCCCGTCACTTTCAGCGTTGGTAGAATTTTTCTCTGTGTGTTGTATGACACTTTGTGTTGCAGTACCGGGCTGCTGGGAACTGCCGTTCACATCAGGGACTGTTGAAGAACTTTCCTCTTTTCCAGTAGTGGGCGTTTCATTCCCAGCATTTGCCACGCCACCGCTTACTTCCGGATTAGTGCTGGAGTTGCTCTGTACTTCGGCTTCCTCCTCTCTCTTCTCCTGTTTAAGATCTTCATCCTCAGGCACCTGAACCACATTGTATTTAATTTCGGGAAGAAGATCAGTATTCGTCTCTTTCGTGCACACTTCAGCGTATTTGGGGCAACGAATAATAGTTCCTCCACTGAACACTGAACCCTCCAATGTTATTTGCTGGCCATCATTTTCGCACGTATGCCATTTTTCTTTCCCATTATCATTCTGCCCCTTGTAATGCACAAGTACCTTGTCATTCTCACACTTCACTTTTGCACAAATGCCTTGAACCTTCAGACCAATTCCATTATTTCCATCGACGAACTTTGGATCCTCCACATCCAGACACCGTGACATATTGCTCACAATACTTCCAGGCATCAGTGTCTCATTACCAGTCTCGCACATGGTCTCTTGAAAGGGTTTGATAATGGGACAGCCCTCCATCATATCACTGTTTCTGATATTATTCTTTTTGAAGTAGTTGTACTCAGCAGGCATACCATCTTTCTTGTTGTCGTCCTTGGAGCAGACACCAAGACCAAAGCGATCAGAAGTGCACTGTAATGTGGGCTCATCTTTACTTTCCTTGCAGAAGGTCTTGGAGAGGTTCCCCAAGTCTTTTTCGATGATATCTTGGCACTTACTTTTAAAGAGTTCACATCCTGATTGATTCCCCCAACTCATCGGTTCTGCCATGCTGAAATCGACTTGGTAGTAGGTCCTTGTATCAAACACTGCAAGTGTCAGTGCCGTGTAGAACATTCCAGTGGGTTCACCAGTGTACGGACTCATCAATTCATCCTTTGCGATACGCCTCTCCCACTGAGAGATATAATTTGTGTCTTTAAAATCCAAAGGTATTCCCCCAGTTTCGGAGCAGTTGAACTGCTGATTCATCTTCTCCTTCAGAGCGCCACCGGTCACCACCGTGACCTGCTTCCATCCGCCGTTCAAGAAAACTCTATGGTTCCCTGCAATAGCGGTGGCATCCACGAACTCCCCAAACCCAAGTCCAAATGCAATATTGCGTGCAGCCAAACGAATATAATGTCTCGTTGCGTTGATTTCCTTCGGGACAAAACTGATACGGGCAGATGTCGGTCGGACTTTAGTATAATCTTCATAAGTGCAAATATGAGAGTCTTGCCCATATGGCGAGAGACGCACGTAAAGCAAAAAATCCGCATCGGAAACACCATCCTTCACATGCTCTTCGGGAACAAAGAACTGCTGGCAAAACTTTCCAAATATGTTTTCGGTGTTATAATAATCCTCTTTCCATAGCTTCAGTTTATCCTTCATTGGCTTCACTTTAAGGCGATCCCTGTGCAATTTAATGGCTTGGGGCAGGACCTCCTTAAAAAGAGTATGCATCCTCTTTGTTGTCATTTTATTCTCACCCTCACAGAGTTGTTTAAACTGGCTTTCAAGATCGTTTTTAAGTCCTTGATGTACATTGTACTCAGATGGTATTTCTTTCTTTTCTGCGATGCAATAGTTCATCACATCCTCCACATATTTTGTATACACAGCAATGCGGATGGGCTTCCATTCCTCACCATTAGGAGCAGAAGGAGTAGAGACGGTGTACGCCTGTAGAGCATTTTCTCCTTTCTGTGGTAACTGCTGTACAACAGCAGCCAAACACCCGCAGCTGCAGTACAACAGGAACAGTGCAGTCCACAGTAGGTGACGCATGGAGTGTTTCTCCATTTTGTAGTGATGTGAATATATTAGTTTGTGTGTTGCTTTGCTAAGGTATACACAGAGTAAAGAGAAAAAAAAGAGGAAGAAAAGGGGGAGAATAAAAGGTAAGCATGAATAGATATTATATTGGATCTAGCAGAGAATTAAACACATGTATACACATCGACAGTAATACTCTCAGAAAGAGAAGAATAGTAGTTATGCCAAAAGTAGAATAAGAAAAGATATCAATATACCCTCTTGTGGTACATACATACCAACAGTATCAACATCAATGCACTGTGAGCAGATTTGGTGTTTTATGGTGTTTGTAAGAAATTCAGAGAATAACAAATAGTCATAATAATGAGTGCTGTACTGCCTTTAAACAAGTGAAAAAGATAGAAAGATCCCATGGAAAGAGTGAATGATACCATGTGTTCAGATCTGTCCTTGTATTAGGAAAAGACTGTGTAACTCATGCTTGACTAACCCACCAACTCCACTTGATATACTATTTTTATTATTGCAATTCCAAGTACATTAATGAAGTAGTTGCTTATAATAAGCATTTGACTTTTCCACGGCTTCCACTTGATAATAATTTATTTTTTCTTTTTGCCCATCCATGTCAGGAGCACAACAGCATAATAAAAGAAAATCATACACATCAGAAGAACCATAAAATAATAGAAGAGGGGATTATATGAAATATTCCATCAGCTACAAAAACACTCCTTGTACTAATTATCATACCCACAACACATACACAGAACACTATCTATAAGAGCACTACTCACATTTCCAAGAGAAAGTAACATGTACAACACACTGCTTTTTAACTCTGTTTATTCAGTATAGATCTCAATTCAGTAT